GCATCTGAAGAAGTGAGGTTCTTACCCACGAAAGCTTATGCTCCCAGTACTTCTGTTAGTCTCAAAGGTGCCACAGGACCCTCTGTTGCTTTTGTCAGTACATTTCCCGTTTATTTTCTTTTATTCACTCTTTTTTACTTGTATTTAATTCCTTTGATTATGAAAGCTGACAGTATTTTTAAAAATCTGATTTGCTTTATGCTGTCTGTTTACTTTTTCTTTTTCAGTTTAGAATGATGAAGATTATCAATTTCATTTCAGGGTTCTCTTCCCTCCTAGCACCATATTATTGTGTTTGGATCTCCAGCAGCTTGGGTAGATATTTTAAAGTGGGAGGGAAATTTTAAAATTGAAATGGGGGGTGGAATCTTACGTATTTCTTTTCATATCAGTTTCAGTGATGCTTTCCCACCCCCCCTCTTAAAATAAAGCCTAAAATGCATATGCCTGCATTAGTTAAGTGCCCATTTTACAGTCTTTGCTCACTGTCTGACTCTTGACAATTAGTCCTCTTAGCCCATTCAAAAGTTAAAAGGGGTTAATGAGAGAGAGTGAATAAAGATTAGAAATACAGACAAACCAGTGAGCCTATAAGTAGGAATAATTAAACTAAAATTCACCGCTTTCCCGATATGTCTAGTTGTGTCAGCCAAAACCCAGAAGCACTCTAATCTGTTCTGCAGTCAAAACGGAGATCTGAGTAGCCCAATCATGAAATGGAGAATCATATTGATTTTGTTTCTCTTTTCAAGGTGGTAAATCGATACTATACTCCTCTCTCTCCCTCCCCCCAAAATTTTGCTGACTATTCAAACTCTAATCAGAAAAGAGAAATACACTGTTAATGTAGTGTGTGATTCAAGGATGTCCTACACCTTCTGAGTTCTGCAAAGGGCTTTTGTACAGTCATACCCTGATTCTCCAAAATATTACTTTATCTGAAACAAGGGCATGTTCCTATCTATCTATCTATCTATCTATCTATCTATCTATCTATCTATCTATCTATCTATCCCCATCCACCCCCTCTATCTTTATTTATCTATCTATCTATCTATATACACACATACACTCTTGGAAAAGGCCTTCTACTTATCCCCATTGTCCTTGTTTGACTGTCTCATTGATTATCTTTCCACTAGCATTTTTGCCTTATTGTAAAATGCCAAGTAGAATGCTGTGTGGCTGAAACTATTAAATCAACTATTTAAACTTTGGGGAACATTAAACCCTCTGTTCTCATTGTGGGCATAAATAGAATATATTGCTATGTATTGGTTTTTGATTGTATTCTAAGCTCTTGGTCAATTTTACACTAGGAGTAACTCCTGTGTCTGCTTAGAACAGAGCTAGAAAAGGAAAGCAGAAAAAAATCTAAAAGGCATTCCATTCCTATGAAAGGAAACGTAAGTGAAAATCCTCTATAGGGGTTATATTACTCCTGTCTGTGTCTGTGCAATCCTCTGTGCTCTCCCACCAGTGTTGGAAAGGATGTGGCCAGCGTGGTTCAAAAGCGCAAATGTGGTGGCAATATGCCAAATGAAGTTATCCTGATCACCGGTCCGGAACCATTTAACATAGATCACTAACACCCCCATTTCTTTCTATTTGGGGTGGTTGACAAATGCATCTTCCTACTCAAAGCCAAAAATACAAGGGTGAGCAAGCAGGAGAACCAGTTACCATTAGAACAGAAGTTACAACATGTGCAAAAACTTGGTCACTTTCCTGGATGTACCTTTTTTGGTCCCGAACCCCAGCTTTGGTGGGCTACAGGAAGAAAGATCCTCCTTTCATAATCTCTTACATGATTCCATAACCAATTTTCAAATATATTATATTAGGGTCCCTTCTGTTCACTGAGATGTATTATCTTTTGGCGTAACTTTACATGATGTGTCTAACTAGTAATGTGGTGGTATGTATATTTGTGTACTTGGAGGACCAGGTGTTGCAAGTAGTGTGTGTGTGTGTGTAAACTTGCAGTGAAGTTAATGGAAGTTCTGCATGTGGCATGCCTGTAGGATTGATTCCAATATGTTCACATTCCTGTGTCTAGTTATAATTACATGAAAAAGAGAAGCATAAAGTTCAATAAAATCTTCACTTAAATCCCACATACATTAAAAACTCCTGCCTGGCAATGTTTTGAAGTTATTGCTTCTCGTAGAAGTTATATAGGGGGGACTGATTGTGGGAAACCTACATAGCCAGGTTGTTCCTTGGAGTACATTGTCTAGCATCCAGTCCAGTCTGGCTGTTAAAATCCCAGGCAATGCGGCTCGCACTGCTTCTCTTGGCAGACTATTCCAAAGATTAATACATTTCCCCATCAGGAAACTTTCCTTGACATTCAGGCAAAACTTTCCCATTATTAATTTCATCTTCGTTCTATCCCTGTGTGTCCCTGTATCCCACATAAAATTCTTCTTGCAGTTTACACCTTCCAGGTACGTGTAAAGCTGCTTCGTCTAGTTGTACCCATTTAGGACCAGATGTTTAAAGGTGTCTAAAGATAGCTGCTTTTGAAAATTGGACTAGGTGCCTGCCTCTATCTTTTGGCATCTAAATACTTTTAAAAGTCTAGCCCTTGGTCCATGTAATCTTTCTTCATAATTCAATCCCTCTGACCTAAGTTATTGGGGGTGTTTTTTTTTTTTTTGGCAGGGTCATCTTGTCTGTCATCCTATTGCCACTTAATGGCTGGTCACCAGTGTGGGTTAAGTCCGTCTTTCATAATCCACAGTCCACATAATACACACTGTGTGTTAACCATAGATTCCTCTTTTCTAAGCAAATGTGGTCATCTGGGGTCCAGAAGAGGTTAAGGTTATCAGTTACTTAATTGGGTGAAAGTGAGTAGCAGACAGTCAGGTTATGTTGCTGGGTTTAGTTGGTGATGGTAGAAACTTGCCAATCCAGCTAACAGGCTTTACTCTCTTCAACCTTTCAAGGCAACTATGTTGAATATCGTGCACGTACTGTGTGTATTTTTCAAAGAAGATGAGGAAAGCTGAGGCCCTGAGTGGGCTTTGAAGATCCCATGACTCTTAGGGCTTGGCTACACTCGGGACTTCACAGCACTGCCGCGGCAGCACTGTGAAGCGCGAGTGTAGTCGTGCCGCCAGCACTGCGAGAGAGCTCTCGCAGCGCTGTATGTACTCCACCTCTCCGAGGGGAATAGCTTGCAGTGCTGCGAGCGAGCGTGCAGCGCTGCAGGCACTGATTACACTGGCGCTTTACAGCGCGGTGCTCGCTGCGCTCAGGGGTGTGTTTTTTCACACCCCTGAGCGCAACAAATTGCAGCGCTGTACAGCGCCAGTGTAGCCAAAGCCTTAGGGAAGAGTAGGGGTTTTCCCCAATTTTCTTAGCCAAAATGCAGGTCTCGCTGTTGTGCTGATTGGTTACTGCCCAGAAGCAGCTGCATTTCAGTGGTATTGCATATTTATAGTTTGAAGAGCTTTGAGGTCTTTCAGGATCATGAGCATTGGATAAATGTAAGATTATCTGTCAATTGATTATCACAACAGACAAGAGTTAAACTCAAAGTACTGTAGTTGGATTTTTACTTACATTTTCCTGGTTTGAGCTATACCCAGAGTAGTTTATTTTTTTTGGTGGCTCTGCTAAAGGTGCAATATTCTGGACGGGGTTCTCTTGCTTAGATAGGATATACACAGATCTAAGGTTCCCATGTAGAATTACTTCCTTTTCAAGTTGCACTTGTGCACCTTTACTTCTAATTTCCCTGGGTATATTAGCTAGACTGACTCTGTTAGGGACTTGGCTGTTTTGGAAGCTCTAGAAGTGTCCGGAGTATTCTTTAGGAAAAATTTGCCAGAGTAGGGAGTATGGAGTATTACATTATTGGAATAATGATAAGTCTTTCTCAATTTAAGCTGCCAATCAAAAGAGCTGCCCTATGTTTAAACATGAACTTGCACAGCTTTCTGTTATGGCAGTTTACTGTGAAATGTGGCTTTATGTCGGGAATAATCAGAAATGCGATGTACATTTTTAGTTATAGTATTTTTATAAGTGTAACAGAGCAGATTTCTGCCAAGCAGCCAAGTGTCTGTATTGCTGTGATGTTTTGCTTTACTCAGGGAAAAAACTCACTGGGTTTTTCAAGAGCAGTGGATTCTGCTGCTTTCTCTCAGATATGCTGTGTAAGTCTATAATCAAACTGCATATGTCCGGGGGTGCATGATTTATAGCAGTTACAAAAATAATGAAGCCTTTCAAATGTCTAGGAAGACTTTAATTTCAAGAGTTGAGGTGAAAATAAAACCCAAGAAAGTAGTTTGGCAAAGCCACTGGAGTCAAATGGTTGCACACTGTTTGCCCAGCATTTTGCATTTCTGTGACAGTACTGTATTTTGTTCTGTGTTCCGTCTTGGCCGGCTGGGTGGCAGTGGATACAGTCTTGCTTTTAGTTTCTCAGCTTTTAAAACATGTCTGGTTAAATTGGGAACTCTCCTCAGACATCTGATTGTGTATTGTTTCTCCATTGATTCCCCTGGTACAACTGGGGCAGACTTATGCTTTGGTCCAAAAGGTAATTGAAATAGTAGATATTTACAGCTATAATTAAGTTTCTGTTGTAACTTTCTGGAACACCTTTTGGTAGAAATTTTCCATGCTCAGTCTCTGCATGAAGGTGAACTCATCTAAAAAGTGTTTTGTTTTTTTTAGTATTATCTCTGTTTCTGAATTTTTGGCAAAGGAGCTGATTTTGTTAGTATGTGTGCAATTTTGATGTGTCTTTACTATACATGTCTGTATTGATTCAGCTTCCAACCTATATTTCCCTAAGTCACTTCCTTGTGAGAGAGAGCATCTTTTGGCCTGTACAGGGGAGCCTTGATGGAGAGGGAGATAATGGATAGTGAGGGCTGATGCAAACCTCAGATTTTCTCTTCAGTTGATTGCATTGATAGTATAATAAATCAATAACCTCGGGAGGACTAAGTATTATCTAGACCATCCCTGACAGGTGTTTGTGGGCAGTAGAGTTGTTGGCCATCTTAATGTTGCATTACTTCTATATTGCAGCAGAGGAATAAAACTTGTGCGATGATACGGAAAGCATGGACTTGTTAACTAAATCACTACAAATAAGTCTGCTGAAATGTAATGCCATAGGTGGTGATGCTGAACTCTTTAGATATAGGCCATATATGGTTCTCCTCCGGCGAGGTCCACTGTTTTGGTCATTCAGGAGGCTGCTTGTGGGTGGTGAAAACCAATATGATGTTCCTCTGTGTTTTGTATTTTAAGAGTGTGATATTTTAGGACCATAGGAATTGACAGACCAGATCAGAGCATTGCTCCATCTAGTCAGGTAGCCAATCTCTGGCAGTGGCCAGTACCAGATGCTTCAGATTTTGGACAATTGTGGAATAACTTGTCCACAAGGGAAGTTTCTTCCTGACCCCCGTCATCAGTCGGTGATCGGTTTTATGCCCTGAAGCATGAGGTTTTGTTTTATTTTTACTTTTTAAATAAAACTGTCTTAATGCTACTATGGATGTTTTCAGTATTCTTATATATGTCTAATTTTTCCTTCAGTCCTAATAAGCTGTAGACCTCCATGGAATCCAGTGGCATCGAGTTCCGCAAGTTGTGTGTATGCTGGTGGTGAGGAGTGCGTGTTTTTGTTCTTATTAGTTGTCTTTCAGTTTCATTGAATGTGACTTTGCTGTTGTGTTATGAGAGGATAAATACGAGTGCCTGACTTCCCTGCTCTATACCATTTGTTTTATATACTTTTTATCATGTCTCCTCTGAAATAAACAGTTTCCAATGGTGTGGCTATAGTACTTCCACTTATATGACATCTCTTATCAGAGGATCTTCGCGATATGTAGAAGAAAACCTACTTTTAACTGGTGACACGAAAAGTACAAGTTAGAATTACATTGACATTTTTTTAGATTTTTTTCAAAGCATAACAAAATTCTTTAAAATCCAATATTGCATCCAGTGATTTTAATGTTATCTGATATTTGTGTGGCAATGTGCCATCAGCTAAAGGGAGATTCTGGTTTTAAATTATTTTTCTTCTTTATCTTGTGTAGATGGTTTCACCCGAATATTACTGGAGTGGAGGCAGAAAATTTACTGCTGACAAGAGGCGTTGATGGCAGCTTTCTGGCCCGGCCCAGTAAAAGTAACCCGGGAGATTTTACACTTTCTGTTCGGTAAGTTAAGTGTTTGAGAGGCTCTGTCCTTAATACCCACTTGGCCCAAACATACAGAAGTTTCCAATTGCCATTGTTCTGTGGAGAGCAATCCTGTTTGGGTAGAGAGATGAGACTTTTGTGAGCTACATGTTCTTCTCTATTTCTGACTTCTGAGTCTGTTATGTTGATAGTTTTACATTTGCTTCTGCATAGGAACCCAAATGTCTTTGGTTTTCCAAGTTGTGCAGAGCTTGGAAGGCAGTGGATCCTGGCTCTGTAGTGAGCCAGAAAGGTAGAGGTGAAGTGGCAGCCAGTTTGTAATTTCTCCATTCCCTACCCTTTTAAAGAAATCCATTAGGGTACCTGTCCAGAAAGTAGCAGAGCTGACAGTGTTAGAAGATCATGCATGTAAGATCTATGCTCCTTTATACTGCATTCTGTCTTCTCTTCTCCCCCTCATCACTCCGTTAGCTACACTGATAGTACTTAAAAATTTGCCAGTTACCTTAGATAGATATTTGCAGTGTAACTTAATGCCAAAAATGTGCTTGGCGCTGTACAACACAGCATGCAAATATAGTCTTTGCCCCAAGGAGCCCGCCCCCTAAAAACACATACGAGAAAGGGATCATGGAGAAAATCCAAAGGAGGGAATAACATAATTTTTCTTCCCTCCGTAATGTCTCACTTCTTAGGGATTGCAGAAGAAGTGAGGGGGATTTGAATGAGACTAGGATGGTGGCTTGTCAAATAGAAAGAGACCATTCCACACACACTCAAGATACTTTCCTATAACAAGAATAAGGAAATATTGAGGTAATCTTGTTTTGTTAGGAGAAATGAACAAGCTTTTAAAGGCAACTCATGTATTCCAGCTTCTAAAATGCGCCTTCTGGAGTACGTGTCCTCTGAGACAATGTGGGGATGGGGAAGGGGAAAAGGGCATGTCTGACACTTCATTGTTGCCTTACATTTTAAGGTAGTCTTAGTGGAGCTGAGTCAAGGGAAGGAGACCTCATCAAAGATCTGTGCATTGGACGGGGGGAGGGGCGGCTGAAGTTTCCTGACTGAGAATTCCATTTAAGTCCTACCTAGGGCAGTCTTATGATGGCCGTTGATCTCTGCTCTTCATTGATATTAGTGGAGGTAGAGGCTAATTGCTTATATAAATGGCTATCCTTGACTGATTGTAGGGAGCAGACCTGTCTTTAAGGGAAATCCCCATGCTGGGGAACCATGTTAGGATGTCTGAGTTGCTCCTTGAACGTGACAGTTGGAGTCTGTCCAGCCTTTCCTAGAGCCTGACTGCTATACCGGGCAGAGCTGGACTCCACTCTGAAGAAAGTGGTAGTACAGAACCCCAACGAGGCATCTTGTGGATGATGAAGACTTCCCTCCGTCATGAGAATTGCATATAGAGGACAGGAGGTCTGTGCAGCTTCTATTGGACAATGTGGGTATATCTGCACTGCAAAAACAAAAAACCTCTATGGCAGCGAGTCTCAGAGCCTGGGTCAACTCACACTACAGGGTTAAAAACAGCAGTCTAGACATTTGGGCTCTGAGACCCAGGGAGAGAGAAGGTCTCTGAGCCTGGGCTCCAGCCCAAGCCCAAACGTTGACACTATTTTTAGCTCTCTAGCGTGAGCCCCACAAGCCTGAGTCAGTTGATCCGGGCTCTGAGACTTGCTGCCGTGGGTCGTCTTTTGCAGTGTAGATGTACCGGGTGGGCTCATGAAGACTGTTGTGGTTCAGTGGAGCCATTAAGAAATTATGGAATGAAAAAAATCTTATTTCTGTACTGACTGTTAAACAACCACTTCCTCTTCCTGTAATCCTTGATGTTGTTTCATTGCCCTGCTATTAGATGTATAGTTGCTTCATTCACAGTGTGCAGTAATTTAGATATGCTACAATTCATCTGCTGGAAGGTGCCTGACATATAAAGCTGAACTACTAAAATTTCCAAGCTAGTAGAGTGGAATATTTTAAAGTGATTGGTTTGAAATTGGCGAACTTGTGTAAGTTGCCTTTTTTCTTTTCTTTTCTTTTCTTTTTTTTGGTGTAATAAACATTTAGGCGAAATGGAGCTGTCACGCACATCAAGATCCAGAACACAGGAGACTACTACGACTTGTATGGAGGAGAAAAATTTGCCACGTTGGCTGAGTTAGTCCAGTATTACATGGAACACCATGGGCAGCTCAAAGAAAAGAATGGAGACGTAATAGAGTTAAAATATCCACTGAATTGTGCTGATCCTACATCTGAAAGGTGAGAGAGAAAAATAGTGGTGAAAAATATGAAGGAGTCCATTCTCCTTTCCACGTATGCATGTAATTCCTATTAACCTTAAGGATTTGCCTTTACTCAGTGTAAGTAAGGGTGGCAGTACCTTACCTTGCAAGTAGTCCAACTGTTTTCTGTGGCACTACTTGCAAAATAAGCTATTACTCAACTTGAGTAAGGGTGGGAGAATCTGGACTGGAGAGGATCGGTCCTATACGTTGCAGTAACTAAAACAAAAACAAAGTAAACTATGACAGGTTTCAGAGCAGCAGCCGTGTTAGTCTGTATCCGCAAAAAGAACAGGAGTACTTGTGGCACCTTAGAGACTAACAAATTTATTAGAGCATAAGGTTTCGTGGACTACAGCCCACTTCTTCGGACGCATACAGAATGGAATAAATATTGAGGATATATATATATTTTTTCTCTTACTTAATGGGCCTCTCAGAGTTGGTAAGACAACTCCCACCTCTTTATGCTCTCTGTATGTGTGTATATATATCTCCTCAATATTTATTCCATTCTGTATGCGTCCGAAGAAGTGGGCTGTAGTCCACGAAAGCTTATGCTCTAATAAATTTGTTAGTCTCTAAGGTGCCACAAGTACTCCTGTTCTTTTTAAAGTAAACTATGCAACCCGCTTTCCGATCCTTCTTGGAAAATTTCATTGGTTGCAAAAGCTTCAAAGAATTATTTGTGTTATTGCAGTGACTTCAATATATATTTCAGAGCATATTTTTATCCTGGTAGTGCTGTATTGTATGTGGGTTTAAGAAAACAAAAGTCAAATGCAAATACACAGATTGCTGAAACTGACATTTTTAACAAGACAGCACTGATCAGTAGGATCTCAGACTTTGTATACTTACTAAGAAAGTATAGCGAAGGAACTCTTCAGAAATGAATGTAGTTCTTTTTGGAAACTGGAATTAATTAGTCTTGACCCATTATTCAGCATTATGGCCAGTAGATGTCAGTTTATTCTCAGAAGTGAAAAGCAGGGAAAAATAATAGAACCACGCCATCATAAGGTCTGATGAAATTGTATCCATAGTGTCTAAGGAAAACTTTCTGTTAATGTAAGAGCACTGAAATCATGCAAGTGCATAAAATAAACAATGGCAAAAAATACAAGAGAAATTTCAGGTATCTAATTGCAGTAACTGAAATTTTATTAGAAGCCACTTCAGTTTTTGCTGACTTTTTCTCTTGGCATTTCTTTCTTGTGATCTGTATAGATTTTTTTATTAAGCAATGGTGGCATTCTTCCAAGGTTTAAATGCATAAGAATTGAAGTATCTTAATCCGTTTTCTGTGTATGCAAGTTCTGTTTTGAGAGTTGTTTTGTGCATAATGTTTTATTACTTCTGAATGTGCGAACACACGCACTCTCAATTCATATTTTTTTCTAAGTCTGTACTTTGCTAGGTTTTTGGGTACCTTTAGCAACACTTGTGGCCCTTGAGACCTCAGTTTAGTATGAACATTTTGGCTTGTTATAGATGTTTAAGCCAGGTGGGCCCAGTCATGGGTACAGTGAAGAGAAGGGCAACTATATTTATTTATTTATTTAATTTATTGTAAATTTAAGGTGGTTTCACGGGCACCTTTCTGGAAAAGAAGCTGAAAAGTTATTAACAGAAAAAGGAAAACATGGAAGCTTCCTTGTGCGAGAGAGTCAAAGCCACCCAGGAGACTTTGTTCTTTCAGTTCGGACAGGAGATGATAAAGGCGAGAGTAATGATGGGAAATCGAAAGTGACCCATGTCATGATTCGGTGCCAGGTACAACAAAGCTGGAACTTCTTGACTGTAAAGGCTTCTTTCCTGGTTTGCATGCTTATTCTGTCAGGAGAGGCATTACAGACTTCTCAATCCTGTTCAGTCCACTGATTTTGGTCAGACGGCGCTGTATGTACAGCATATTGTTTGTTTGCTCAAATTGACTTCTTTGCTAATTTCAAGAATTCTATTAGCATTTTCTTTTTTTCACTGAATCGTACCATAGCATATCTATATTACTGAGGAGCTTCTAAGAGGTTTCTCTTTGATTGCATCAAGAGTCTGTCTCAAAGCCTCTGCTGATGTAGCCTTTCACATTCATGAATCTTTCTTTCTTAAGTTTGTTGCAGTCTTGTCTTACTACTTCTCTTTTTATATAATAGATCTCAGAATCCATTCCGGTGTGTGTGGGGGGTTTGTAGCTGTACTATGGAGGCTGGTTATTTTGTCTTTTTCATAATGTCTTTCCATAATAACAAACAAAATACAATAAATATTTAATTCAGGGAAACCTTGTCCTACAGTTTAAACTTCAGGTAGGGTAGTTTGCCTTTACTAAAGAATGTGTTTAAACTATCTGATGCCAGGATTAATTCTTGATGGCTATTTTTATTCTCAAAACATTTTTGTGTGTGCCTGAGTATTGGTGTTAAAGGGTCAAATCTGTTGAAAGTACTTTAATCCTTTTTAGAAAATACAGTTTTTGTAATACCTTTATTTGTCTTTTAAAAAAAAGCAAAAACAACCATCCCCACATGCCTAGTATAGAGAAATCAGGAATTTGGGGTGGAAATGGTGCAACTGAGTGAGAGTGCCTGCTAGAGGTTTTTGTGTTTTTTGGCTGTGCATTCAGTAAATGCCGTCAAAATTTCAAGGTGATTTCCTGCCTTTATTTATAGAATCATAGAATCGTAGGACTGGAAGGGACCTCGAGAGGTCTTCTAGTCCAGTCTCCTGCACTCAAGGTAGGACTAAGTATTATCTAAACCATCCCTGCAGGGGTTTGTCAGACCTGCTCTTGAAAATCTCCAATGACAGAGATTCCACAACCTTCCTAGGCAATTTATTCCAGTGGTTAACCACCCTGACAGTTACGAAGCTTTTCCTAATGTCCCACCTAAACCGCCCTTGCTGCAGTTTAAGCCCATTGCTTCTTGTACTATCCTCAGAGGTAAGGAGAACAATTTTTGTTCCTCCTTTTGAAACAACCTTTTATGTCCTTGAAAACTGTTCTCATGTCCCCTCTCAGTCTTCTCTTCTCCAGACTAAACAAACCCCATGTTTTCTAGACCTTTAATCATTTTTTGTTGCTCTTCTCTGGACTTTCTCCAATTTGTCCACATCTTTTCTGAAACGTGGCGCCGAGAACTGGACACACTATTTCCAGTTGAGGCTAATCAGCGTGGAGTAGAGTGGAAGAATTACTTCTCATGTCTTGCTTACAACACCTCTGCTAATACATCCCAGAATGCTGTTTACTTTTTTTGCAACAGTGAGACACTGTTGATTCATATTTAACTTGTGATCCACTATCCTCCGATCCCTTTCTGCAGTATTCCTTCCTAGGCAGTCATTTCCCATTTTATACGTGTGGAACTGATTGTTCCTTCCCAAGAGGAGTACTTTGCATTTGTCCTTATTGAATTTCATCCTGTTTACTTCAGACCATTTCCCCAGTTTGACCTGATAATTTTGAATTTTAATCCTCTCCTCCAAAGCCCTTGCAACCCCTCCCAGCTCGGTATCATCCGCAGACTTTATAAGTGTGTTCTCCAAGCAATTATCTAAATCATTGAGGAAGATATTGAACAGAACCAGACCCAGAACTGATCCCTGCGGAACCCCACTCATTATGCCCTTCCAGCATGACTGTGAACCACTGATAACTGCTCTTTGGGAACGATTTTCTAACTAGTTATGCACCCCCTTTATAGGAGCTCCATTTAGGTCAGTGATTCTCAACAATGGATCTGGGGCCCACTTGGCGGCTGCGAGCAGGCTTCAGGGGATCTGCCAAAATAAACCAGAGAGCAGGAACAGCGTTAGACTTGCTGGGGCCCAGGGCAAAAAGCCAATGCCCAAGCTCCGCTGAGGGCTGGAGGTCAAAGCCAGAGCAACTTAGCTTCACGGGGTCCTCTGTGGTGTGGGGCTCTGGGGAATTGCCTTGCTTGCTACCCCCTAATGCCAACCCTGGCTTTTAATCTACTGGATATGCAGAAAAACAGTTGTTGTGGCACAGGTGGGCTGTAGAATTTTTTAGCGGGGGGGGGGGGGGATGGCCTCCGAAAGAAAAAGATTGAGAATCCCTGATCTAGGTTGTATTTCCCTAGTTTGTTTATGAGAACATCATGTGAGACAGTATCAAAAGTCTTACTGAAGTCAAAATATACCACATCTACTAGTTTCCCCCCATCCACAAGGCTTATTACCCTGCCAAAGAAATCTATTAAGTTGGTTTGACCTGATATTTTTCTTGACAAATCCATGCTGACTGTTACCTAGAAGATAATAAGGTGATAAATGTTTGCAGCTCTTTATGTACATTTATCTTTATGTATATTAGCCATTTTAACATATTTAATTATTTGAGTTTATGAAAGTTTGGGAAATAAATTTGTTAGAGTTCTCCATGCCCTCGATCTGTTGCTAACCTCATAAATGCTAATGGTAGATGAGATAGTAATTATATTGCTGACTTGCTTTTTAAACAAGGACTACAGTACAAATACCTGTGTTCCAGGACCCAGTGTTAGATTCTGTTGTGCTTTTGTTTTGATTTATTCACAAATTCACGTCCGAGTTTCTGATTGTATCCCTCAAGTATTCTACTTGGGGTGAGTATCAGGGACACTGTTATCCTTAACATTAAAATGTTCTAATTAGAAATGTATTACAACTTTTCAGTGGAATATGACTGTAGCAAATCATCTTTTATCATTTCAGTATGGAATGGCAGGGGATAGTTAAATAGGTTTTTAAGTACTCATTTAAGGGATCTTGTGATTGGTTGAACATTCTAAAGAGGTAATTAATGCAGACTTTATTTTGATTATTGTGTACATTGCTATGAATGAGCACATTTTGAATATCTTTCTTGGAAGGAGCTGAAATACGATGTTGGCGGAGGGGAGAAATTTGACTCTCTAACAGATCTAGTGGAACATTATAAGAAGAACCCCATGGTAGAAACTTTGGGCACAGTACTACAGCTTAAGCAGGTGAGCTTAGTAAATGCTAGAACTTGGATCATAAACATTAATTAACTTCAGGACATAGAGGTGGGAATGGTGGTGGTGGGGGGAGCTCAACCTTTTTCTTACATTCTGTAAAGTGTTGAAAGACAGACATTCATTCAGCATTAAAACCAAAAGTGAATTTACCATCCTCTTTTACAACAGCATCTTAATCTTTCAGGGTGGTCCAATGATTGGATTTAAGCTGCTATAGTTATTTTTAGCCATCTATAAAGGACCTAATTCTCCATTTCTGGTGCATCTAGAACTCCCCTTGGCTTCATTGAGAGTTCTGGGTCTACAAGGATTTTAAAATCCTGTCAAAAAGAGAGGAGGAGAGGAAGCTTAATGCACTGAAACTGGAACCATGAAACTGTGTGACTACCACCACATAAATCTGATTTAAAAAAAAAAAGAGGAGGTGGGGTGGGGCTTCAAAATCTGGAGTGAAGCCTGGGTCCTAAAACTCTGAGTGGTACCTACATACAATATGTTTAATACAGGAGATCTGTGTAAACTAGCTTTATCCTGTTCTGTTTGCTGTGCAGTGGTTTAATATAAAATATCTTTCTTGATTAGCCCCTGAATACAACCCGTATTAATGCTGCAGAGATTGAAAGCCGGGTGCGAGAACTAAGCAAGCTAGCAGAGACCACAGATAAAGTCAAGCAAGGCTTCTGGGAAGAATTTGAGGTAATTTAAATGTTTCAAATGTAAAGCAGGTGTGTCTCAGTGATAGAACTATAATTTTACCACAATTTCCCAGCTGCTTAGGGCCCTTTGCCCCTCAAATCTTTATTCTTGCTCCCGACTCCTGTGCCAGACATTGCAACTTCTCCAGTTTGCCAGTTCCTCTCATGCGTCGGCCAAAGATGAATGCTTGAAAGGTGTGCCTTTTCTTTTAACCCTGAGCACTGGCTCCCACCCCGTTTTGAGCTGATATTGTGCTGGGCTTAGGAAGACATTGCTTAACAGGAACGGCTGGGATTTTGGCACCAACTCATGTTGTCTTTCAGTGGGAATTCTTGTAGGCGCTCCTGAAAGTCCCAGAGACAATAATTTTGCATTTCTCTAATTCTTCTTATGAGAGGATTTCAAATTACTTTACAAAAAAAATTAAGCCTTGTGACATCCCAGTGTGGTAGGTGATTTTTTTTCTGATGGATAGAAAGAGGCAGAGGTACTATAGTTTCAGTGGCAGAACCCAGGAGTCCTGATGACCAGTTCCCCACTCTAGCCACTAGATGACACTCCCTTCCTTACAAGTGAAGTACAAACAAGTTTGGTATTAGATGGCTGGTTAGCAACTGCACTGGACATAATAGTCAAAATAGTGACTTTTGTTTATGCTTTTATAGGATTTGACTGATTTTTCAGAGGAGCCTATGGGAGATAGGTGCCCAACTCTTATTGAAATTTGATAGGTTTTGGGCATCTGAGGCCTGGTCTATACTAGAAAATGAGGTCAGTTTAACTATGTTGGTCAGGGGTGTGAAAAATCCCTGAGCAGCATAGTTAAGCCGACCTAAGTTCCATGTAGCTAGCGCTAGGTTGACAGAAGAATTTTTCCATCGATTTAGCTAGTGTCTCTCGGGGAGGTGAATTACATATGCCGACAGGAGAACCCCCTCCCATTGGAGTAGGTGGTGTCTACACTGCGCCACTGTAGCGTTTTGTAGACAAGCTCTAACTCTACGCAAATATTTGATTCGCAAGAAGCTGGGAAGTGAATCTACCCTGCACTAGCTTGCCATGGTCTAGTTGTCTGTGTGGACTCTGCTGGCCTGTATTAATAGTTGCACTTTAATCTACTCCCATTTCAAAGAGGACTAGATCAGACTGTTGATGTATGTCAGCAGGGACAGCTAGTCTGCGGCTGGCTAGTGTAGGGTAGATTCACATCCCATATTGCTGTAAGCTAAGTGTTCATGTTGACAAGCCTTTTGGTTCTTTTTTTTTTTGTAAATCCCTGCTTTTCTCTTCTGCAATAACTGCACTTTGCATGGGAAAAAATTGAATGCAGTTGTTCCCCAAGAAAACTCTCTGCTTAAATTGCCAGTTAATTTGAAAAGATTATTTAAAACCATACTTGATGGCAATAGAAAGTTTCCAGTGGTTTAGACTGAAGACTGCATTGTTTTTACAATTACATGGTGTTAGCCAATACATATATGTTAGGCGTAGGGCATACCATATTAATATTGTATTACGTCCATCATGTGGGCAGTTAACTGAATTGTATTATGTCCACTTTGCTCACTTATGTCAAGAGATGTATATCCCACAACACTCTGCAAAACAAAATGTAGCTTTTGGCATTAGCAAATATAAAGCCTGTCAAAGGCAAGATATATTTGTTCTATGTCCTAATACAGGTACCTTCACAGGCAACTGGTTTAAAATATGGTATCCCAAGTAGAGATAGGGAAAGATATAGAACAACAAATTAAAGAACTGGTACAAACTGGGTTGGATCTTAGATGACCTATAAAGTGCTTTCTAATTTGTAAGCAATTGTGTTATAAATATAAGAGGGTTTAGGGGTATATTTTGAAGCACACTTACTGTGTAAGGTGACCTGAACAGCGTTGTAAGAAACTGCTTCCCAGAAAGATTGGTATTGTATTAACTCTTTTTTTCTTTCTATACTGTTCTGCTATTGATTTCAAGTATAAATTGGCTATATTTGTCTAGTCAAGCAATCGACTATGCATTTTGAGCAACAATGGTCTTGTAAAAATAGAATCCAGGATAAACTTTCACATAACTCAGCTTGCTAGAAATTTCAGGAGAATCCACAAATGTGAGTGTAAAGTTTTTGCTTAAGCAGTTATATGCAGTAGAACAAAATCTCATACCTGAATTTATGCCCAGTAAATACTAGTAAACATTTCCAGCATAGCATGTTGCTTTTTCAGTGTTCCTTTTGGTGGTAATAAGAAATGGATGTGTGAATAGTGATATGGCTGCAAATGGGGAAAATAATCCATTTCAAAGCTGGCCCATTCAGTTTTTTATATTATACCCTTTTAAACGGAGGGGAAAGAAATAAGCAATTTAGCAAACAAAAGTCGCCAAGTGTTAGTGTGCCGATCATGGCAGGATCGTGAGGGATAACTGGTCAAACACACTCACTGCAGTGCAAATCTTCCTCCCCAGCTATTTATATAAAACACTCTCTCGTCCTTGAATTCATTGCTTCTTTGACTCTCACATTTTGGGAATGCTAAAATAAAACTACTGCAGAGAGGGACCCTTTGAGCCATTTTCCAGGTTAATTTTAAATAGTGTTGGAATGACAGCTGTATAATCTGTATGCTTTGCTTAGGAATTTATTATTATTTTGTTTGGGTGCAACCCCTCCATCTGGAGCTACCATTACCATCCTCTTACCAGAAAGAGAGTAAGGGGGACATCTCTTCCCCTCCATATAATAGTGTATGTACCTTCTACATTTTTAATAGCATCTGGTGCTGGTTTCTTCCTTTAAAACAAAACAAAACAAAACAGCCTATTGATTTGAGAGTGATTCTCTGTACGTAAATTACCAGTTTCAACAGTATTCCCCATTTTCCCCCCTCAAACAGAAGAAATGTTAAGTACAACCACTGTATACCGTATCCCAAACCACAGTGAGATATTCCTGGCTCCGAAACTTTCTCTACCAACTGGAGCGATTCAGGAACAAAGAGGAAAAGAGTGAAGATGATAGCCGCTTCTAAAGGCCCTGGTGTAAATATAGTGAAATGGTTCCCGTAAAACAGGTTTATATTGAAGAACTTCCTTAACTGATTCTGGAATATATATTGTACCACCAGCAGATGGAGACAGGAAATCAAGGAATGTGATGTCAACTTCTTTTATAAAGAGGCCGGTTCCAGCTGCATAATACTGTTTGAGAAACTTCTTGAACACTGTTGGGGTTTGAGAGTGGGTGGGGAGAGTAACTACCGTTTGTTAGATAATGAGGATATATTTGCAAATGCATTCACTAGCTGAATAAAATCCTCATGATGATTATTCAGCCAGCTGGGCTTCATGGGAGAATTAAACAAATGAAAAGCACAAAGGAGCGTCACTAGCTGAGGTAGGAAATTGCTCTCTACCAACATGAGAGTGAAACAAACAGTTTATTGGTCTTGATCAGACAAAGACAAGAGGAAGAAGGAAACAGAGTTTCTGGTCACCATTCTGTCAGAGTTGAGTGTCTCCTCTTCCCACAAATTCTCTGCCCTCTGCGGTCAGAAAAGGGACTGTCAATCGAATTATCTCAGCTGATCACTGTAATGAGGGAAGGTGGAGAGAGAGGATGCAGCCTTGGATAAGTAGGGCTCAGGAGATGTAAGGGTCTGTGTATCAAACTAGCATCCATTGGCTTTCATACAGAACAGGCAAATATGCTCCACGTAGCTAATGGCACAAAGTAGGCAAACAGCCACATTCTGCTCTAGCTAAACTTTCCATGTGGATGTGACCAAGAAACCGTGGTCAGTGGTATACTTCAATAGCTGTCATATCGTGGCATTTAAACTGTTACATGTGACAGCTGCATGACTTGGTTTGAACCCACAATAAATTGGCTTTTCAATCTGGCTGAAGAACAAAAGCATGTGTTGCAGTTAGCATCCTCTCCTGGGGACTCTGAGCTTACCCTTCCGGTACTCAGACTTCACTAGCAAAGGTCCCAAAGCTCTTCTTGATTTCCACCCCCCACTCTCCCCCGCCCCCGTTGTAGTTGGTGCTGGCTGATGAAATGATTTTGGTGGTGGGATTATGTGGATTAATGTCTAGCTGCCCAGGAATGGAAGAGACTGGTTTTCGCCCTGTGTGCCAATATTGGTGCAGGAGGGATAAGCATTCCCATACAGTGTCCTTCTGAATATATTGTAGACTCATCTATGAAACCACAGAGCTGACACTGTTAATGTACCTCTTGTTTCTCCTGGCCTGGCCTGGCCTGGCCTGAGATGATTTGTGGCCTGGTGGAGTACTGGAAGAGAAACTCATAATGTAGCTGATTCATTGTGGCTGGCCCTTGGAGAAATGGGGCAGATAAATGCTCTGACTTTCCTGAATACATATATTCACCGGGAAGCCAAAAACTTATGAAAGGGGAAAAAGTTATAAAAACAGAAAATCTTTATTGTGAGCTATTTTATTGTGAGCTTCTTCCTTTCACCGTCACTGCCTTTTGGAAATTGCTGTATTAATCCTAAATGTCTCTTTATAATGTCATATTATTTCATTCTGAAATGAAACCATCTCATAAAATGTTAATGTTGCTGTTTAATTCAGCTCTGACAGCCATTGGTTGTCTATCTCTGTGAAAGACTCCAGGATGTCCATGAAACTCTGCATGTGCCATTTATGGTCTTACTACCCAGATAGTGCTTATAAATTACTTTCTCTTTAAGTATATTTAAGGATGTAATCCCTCTTTTCCTGTGAACTACTGGATAGAGATGTTGGCAGGATTCCTTATTCTTTTGCTTCTGAAAAAAGGCTTTTTGGTGAGTTTAGTGCTTGGATGGTATAGTGAATTGAGAACCTTCATTTATTATTGCAACCAGATTTATTATTGCACTATGTACAACTTTAATGGGCTAGCTACAAGTCAGTGCTGCTTATGGGTCTCTCCTCAGAGATGCACAGAGCAATAATAATGAATTGCGTGAAGCAAGGACATGTTTGTAGTCTTTCCCGTTTGAATCCCATGCTTAAAGAACCTGGGGGCAAACTTTGCAGATTATAAAATGGACACAGTTAAATGTGCAGTTATGGTAGCATCAAAGTGCTAATTATACACAAGGTGTTCAGTGTAATTGGCTTATTCAAGCACCTGAGGAATCTTGCAGTATGCCAGGCACATGTTATCAGCTGAAGTGAACCTTCTGTAGAACTTTGCACCATAAATGATGACTACTATTACTACTTTGTACTAATACAGCATCTTCTGTTCTTGGCACTTTACAAACATTAAGACTCTCAACTCCCCTATAGAGATCTTATCTTGATTTGGCTGGGGAAACTGAAGGGCAGAGAGGCTCAGTGACTTGTTCAAGATAGCACAGGAGTTTTGTGCTGGAGTGGGGAATTGAATCCAGGTTTCCCAACTCCTAGGCTAGTACTGTAACCCCGGGACCATCCTTCTGCTCACTTGAGCTATGTCACCATTTTTTCCATCCGTAAAAAGGGATTAATAATACTTGCCTCCCTTCAGAGAGTTACCTCAAGGCTTCCTTAAGGTTAACCATATATAGCACTTTTCATGCAAAAGCGTAAGTCCTGTTACTGCTCTGGGTACTAATTTTGCTCTCTGGTCCTATTGTAGCACATATCTGCCGTGATTATTTTTATTCTAGTGTGGCATGCATTGAGATGAGAGAATGGTTTGTAACAAGACTCTAATATCCTTTATTTTCAGGATGTTTCTTCTTATCACTTTCCGGTTTTCATCTAGAGTTGCGTATAGAGATTCTTTGTTAGTTTTTTTTCTCTTAACACTCGCTCCTAGTCTTCCCTCGTTATTTAGGATTTGCCTGGCTGTTGCTTACAAGAATCCACTCCTCTTCTTGAAAGCTTGTGTTGTGGCAATGCAATATAATCTCTGGCAGCTTGTTTCTGGGACTTCCCAGCAACATAGCTACATACTGGTAGTGCCGGAAGTGGAGGAAGAAAGCCAAATAAGGCCTGAAGGAATCCAGTTCAGGTAGAGAAGTCCAGACCACAAAGTGCCACACTGGCTTTATAGAGTGCTCAAATGGTTACCAAAGTTAATTGTTGTTTACAGTGTGGTTGTAGCTGTGTTGGTCTCAGGATATTGGAGGGACAAGGTGGATGAGGTAATATCTGAAGAAGAGGTCTGTGTAGCTCGAAAGCTTGTCTTTTCACCAATGGAAGTGGAGCCAATAAAAAATAATACGTCGCCCACTTTGTCTCTCTAATAGTTAATTATTAGCAGCATTAAAAGTAGTACCAGGCTGCTAAGCAGACTTTCTCTCCTCCCTTGAACTCAGCAGCTGGGAGAAATATAAGCAAGTATCTTTATGTTTAGTTTTAAATCTTACCAGGAGGGTTCAGACCAACCCCCAATGATCTGTGGCTTTGTTCTTCAGACCTACTTGGCAGAAACTCTGCTTGGCTTCTTTTCTTCTCCTCATCCCCCTCCCCTCGCCCTTTCTCCTTGAAGACCTCCTCTCCTTAATCCACCCTGTTTAATTTCCTTCTTAACGTAGGCAGCTACTCTAGCAAAAATCTAGTATCGTCTGGGCAAAATGCTCCATTCCTTTTTCACGTCATTGAGGGGC